GTAACTCAGAGGAGCGGTCAGTCGTTTGGGGATTATATATCCAGCTCAGTACGGGAAAGGGAGCTGGGAGCAAAGGCTGTTATCGGGAGAACAAGCAAATTGCTTTGGGAAAGACAAATTGGATTTGAGGAGAATAAATGGGAGGATAAGAAAGTTTGTGTTAATGCTTGTTTATGCAGGTGTGAGTGGTCTTTCTGTATTCTTCATGGCCGGGCCAGGAAACACCCCCAGAGCGGGGATTTATAGCAGCTTTACTCTTAAGCCTCTCTCCTGGGAGTAGACGATGCCCCCCAAGAGGGAATTTATGGCAGTCTCTGTTTCTCTAAAGTTTCTGCTTTCAGTCAGATAATGGGTGCTCTGAGAAGGCTTCTTTCTGTATCTGTTGAATCTCAAATATCTTTAGCTTAAAATAATCTTCTCTGACTCTGGGATTCTCAGTGTCCTGCATTGACAACTAGGAAGAGCATCTCCCGGGTTTCCCACTGTTGATCTGTGACTTCCTTTACGGTCTCAAAGTATGCTTCTGAGAGCACTGTCAGCCTCAGTCTCTCCTTATGTGCTCAGCTTATAAAGACAAGATTGCGTGCTTCCTTCCAGATTTCTCTGTGACCTGATTAATACAGCAGTGCTGGGACTGCAGTGTCTGTCTGAGGACTAAGATGAAGGCTCTTCCCGGACCTCTCCCTTACAGCTTTCTCCTCCCTCACCATTTTTGTCTTTGCCATTCCTTAGTTCCAAGTCAGTGATCTTTTGCGTATTGCTTTTATTTTTCTTATTTATATTGCCAGGAAGTTTTCTAGTGTGTGTGAGCTCAGCTGTCAATCTTAATATTTTCTTCTTTTTCTTCTTGAGACTTGAAATACATGCTTCAAAAACTTCGTGTTTATGAGAGCCTTGCAGGACCATGCAATAAATAATATTGTCTTGCCCTCTGGTCTCACAGTGTCAGTAGAAAGTTAAAAGCATTATCTCATGGTTGGTTGTTCTTTTCATACACTCTGCCTGCAAAGTTATGACGCTGATATGCTGTTTCTAAGTCTTTCATGGAAGGTAAAAGTACAAAACACACTTTTCTTTCACTTCTGGTAAAATAAAGAGTAGACTGAGGCTGGGCGCCGAGGCTGGGCGCCATGGCTCACATCTGTAATCCCAATATTTTAGGAGACCAAGATGGGCAGGTCACCTGAGATCAAGAGTTCGAGACCAGCCTGACCAATATGGTGAAACACCATCTCTATTAAAAATACAACAATTAGCCGGGCATGGTGGCAGATATCTGTAGTCCCAGCTACTCTGGAGGCTGAGGCAGGAGAATTGCTTGAACCCAGGAGACAGAGGTTGCAGTGAGTCGAGATTGCACCACTGCACTCCAGCCTGGGCAATAGAGCAAGACTCCCCATCTCAAAGTTTGAAGTCACCCTGGTTCTGTTTCCCCCAGATAACTGCCCCTTTCATCCATCCCTTTGCTGTGCCACCACGTGTATGTACCTTGTCACCTGGAGGTTTGATGAGCGTCTCATCTTTGAGCCTTGTTCTGCAGACTGACATCTGACATGGTTTGCACATTTCTCCTGCATTCTTATGTCTCATTATTTTATTTCTTTTTTTAGGGACTCTAAGAGTCTTGATATTGAGCTCTTTTCCAACAAAGCTGTAGGATCACCAAACTTGTAGTGGATAAAACCGCAAAAGAAAATGTAGCTGTAGAGTATTTTCATTCAACGTTTCCTGTTTTTACTCTCCATGTCCCAGAACATGAGGAACATACCGTGTTCCCAGTTGGGCTGTTTTTTGTTGTAAAATGCAGCAAAAGCTGTAGGCAAGAACCACCCCAACATGGGTCCTGGAGGCACTCTTGAAAGGCACATAGAAGAAAGTCTCTACACGCAGGGTCAATGGAGGGCCTAGAAAAGCCAACAGTCATTCAAGGTATCGGGTTTAAAACGTGATCGTATCTACAGAAGATGGCTTTTAAGTTCTCACTACGTGGAAGATCAAGCTTCACCCATCAGAGAAATTTAAGAAAAAGAAACCCAGGGGCTGGGATCTGAAGGACCCTGAATCAATATGAAATACACTTAGTAGAGTATATAGATATAGAGCACAAGTTAGAATTTAATTCTTCATTTGTTTTTGCTGTTGATACTTTAAAAAATGATTTATTAGTGGAAAAGTATTTTTCCAGTCCATAGAAAGATATTTCTAAAAAGCTGAAATTTCACATCTCAGTAGCTTGGTGATACGTGAATGAAATAAAAACCTGTGACTTGTTGCCAGCTGAGAAGTTGGCCATTATTTTGTACCCATGATAGCTATAAAAATGCATCCAAAGGTGGTTGAAACCTATCTTCAAGTGGTTTTTTTTTTTTTTCAGCCAGGCACTGTTTACATCATATTTGGATAAGGGCTGTGGTGTCTACTGTTAAAACAAGAACCCGTCCAATCTGCTTTTTGTAGCTCTGGTTGCCAGTTTTATGTTGGTGAATTCGTTGCCTGTGGTTTTTCTTATGGCAGGAGAAAGTTTGTTTCTTAAAAGTGATGAACAGCAAATGACAATATCTAGGCTCCAGAAGCATGTCTCACTCTAAATTCTTGTTGTGTTGATGGGTGTGGGGAGGGAGACAAGGAGCTTAACTTTTATTCTTTACTGAATAGTTATGTTTAAGGAAAGCAATATTGCACTTGATATTTATATATGATGGCAAGAAAATGCCATCTCTGTAAGCAGTGTTTGTCCAAGTTTTAGGATTCCCATATATCAAATCAGTTCTTTGTGGATAACTACGAAAGGCATTTGGATTTCCAGATCTCTCATTTTCCTAGTGCATTGAAAAGTCTTTGAGGAGAGCTTCCATACCCTTAGTCTAGATTGATCTTTCCTCTAGGATCAGAGAAAAGTACTTAAAGAGGACCTCAGAGAATCCTTAGAAAATGTGAACCGAGAAGGAAAGATACAAGCAGACAGTAGCCATGGTCAGGAGAAGCTGCTGTGTGGGTGATGGGGAGCTGCAGACAGGCAGTTCAGGGGTCCCCATTCTTGTCACTTCCACCTGGAGGTATGAGTCTCGTCTCAGTCAGCTCAGGCTGCCACAGCAAAGAGCCACAGGCCACATGGCTTTTCAACAATGTTGTTTATTTTCTCAGTGCTCTAGAGGCCAAACGTCCAAGATGAAGGTGCCAGAGTTGGTTTCTCCTTAAGCTTCTCTTTTTGGCTTGTAGATGGCCACCTTTTCCCTCTGCCCTCACCTGGTCTAGTCTCTGTGCATATACACCCCTAGTGACTTTTCATCTTTTTTTAGCGGGGGAACCTCACTGTGTCGCCCAGGCTGGAGTGCAATGGTACAATCATAGCTTATTGCAGCCTTGACCTCCTGTGCTCAAGGAATCCTCCTGCCTCAGCCTTCTCAGCCTCCTCAGTAGTGCCCCACTGTGCCCAGCTAGATTTTAATTTTTTTGTAGAGATGAGGATCTCACTGTGCTGCCCAGTCTGGTCTTAAACTCCTGAGCTCCAGCAATCCTCCTACCTTGGCCTCCCAAAGTGCTGAGATTATAAGGGCTAACCTCCACACTCAGCCTTTCATCTCCTTACAAGGTCACCAGTCCTATTGGATTAGGGCCCCACCCTTCTGACCTCATTTAATTACCACATTGAAAGCCCCATCTTCAATTACAGTCCTATCGAGGGTTATGAACATACGAATTTGGGGAGGACACAGTTCAATCCATAATAAGAATGAAGGCCTCCTATGTGAGGCCCCTCAGTTACCACTTTTGGGAGGAGATTTAACTGGAGAAATGCCTTTTATGATTCCTAATATGCAAATAGACTGCAGTTTTCCAAAGACCTCAGTCTAATAAGAAATAGAGACGTTTATGAAGGACTGTTGATTCCCGCGTGCATTCTCCTTGCAGTGTGATTTCATCCACTACCTACCGCTCCATCAAGACTAGAGGCCATGGGGAATTGCAGTGCGGGTGTGCATGTTCAGAAAGGACTCAGCTTACGGCTTTGGAAAAAGGAACTGAAGCCATGGAGGCGGGTGCGGTGGGGAAGGGGGGAGGCTGGAGAGCAGGTGGAAGCAAGTTTTAGTTCCTGGAGCCATCTTTCACCATCCCAACCTAGAGAAGAGGAGTGGCTGGTTACCCTCATGGGCACAGTATGGTAAGCGGCACTACCATTTTACGTTGCTTCCTTTACGCTTGAGAAATACAGCAGCCTTTTCCTTTAACTGTCACTGATCCCCTGAGACCCATTACTTTCTGTTTACACTGAAGCCACGTGCTGCCAGTGTCTGCAAGGCTGGGAGTCTTCACTCAGTTTCCAGGTCCCAGTCATACAGTCACTCTGCATTTTGTGTGTGTGTGTGTGTGTGTGTGTGTGTGTGTGTGTTTGTTGTTGTTGTTGTCTTTTTTTCGCCTTATAAAACCCATTGTGTTTCTCTCCATTTAAATGTGACCTTGCCTACCTCTCACCATTCTGCGCAGATGCCATTTATGAATAATGGAAATCGTCCCCATTTCAGCAATATGATACACAGCCTTGACAAAGATACCGTTTCAGTGTTCTGAATTTACATGGTTTTCAAGGCAGGATTATGGTCCCATATGCACTCACATTTTTCAAAAATGAAATACGGTATCAACAGGAAAGTACCCGTTAAACTTCACTAACCTCATTTCGAGAGCCAGCCCGTTAGGTATGTACCCTGCCCACTCATCTTTGGTATGAAGTTGTATATAACAAAATGAGGGTGTGTTAAATGGGGTGTCTTTGTGGAAGTGGATTCTGGTTTAGCACTGTTAGGACATATTTTTTTGCACACTAGTAAGCATTTCTTATAAATATCTCTGTGAGAAATAACAGAAATGACATGGAAAATCACGCATGGTATGCTTTGTCGTCAGAAAATGAAGTTGCTGCCTTGCCTTTGGAATACGCTGTACAGAATAGATCTGAATCATCATCGGGTCTTACCATTGCTTTCCCCCGCTTTTTCTAGATACAGAGGCAAAACCTACAGGGCTGTGGTCAAAATCGTACGGACATCGGACCAGGTCGCGAATTTCTGCCGCCGAGTCTGTGCCAAGCTAGAGTGCTGTCCGAATTTGTTTAGTCCGGTGCTAGTGTCTGAACACTGCCCGGAGAACTGCTCCATTCATACCAAAACCAAGTACAGTAAGTACAAATGATGAAAAAAGAATCGCATGGTGCCAGGGGCCTGAGCTGGGCTGGAAGGGATTTGGGTTTGGTATCATTTGTGTTCTTCCTTTTGAACCTTTCGACTAGTCTTCCATAGGAATTGCTGTGGAAGGATGTTTAAAGATTTGCTGTAGGTTTTTAGACTGACATACGGAGGGGCTGGGATGATTTAAAACAGGATGAATTTCCACTGGTAGGCCTTGGAAAAGAAAAGAAACCGTGTGTACCGTCCTGGGTTTCAGTGCATCGATTGACTCTACAGCTCCATGGATGGCGGGAAAGCACAATAAACTTGATCACAGTGACAGTGACCTGGATGGCTTTCTCAGTCCTTACTCTGGGAAAGTATAATGACCCTTTCATTGCCCTACTTCATACGGATGCCACACCCTCGTCATAATCGGCTTCTCATGTTTAGATGCCTTCCTCAGCACCCCCACCAAGGAGAGCCATGGAGGGCTCAGAATCCACCACCACTTTCTTTGCTGCCTCTGTCCCAGGACACACGGTGCAGGACTCAGAGCTGTCCCCACTCCGACACCTTCAGCTCTTGCCTCTTCATCCCCAGTCCCATTCAAGGATCTCTGGCTTCAGGCAACCACCTCCCCCAAGCCCTGCCCTTCTCCCCTTCTGATGATCTTCTCCATTCACGGTAGCCACTCCCAGACACCTCCACCTCCTGTGCCCGAGCCCGGATCTCTCCCTCTGACCTGCAGTTCTGAGTTTCCTGCGTCTCCCCTCAGTTCTCTCTAATGCAAGGGGCAGTGACCTGGAAGTTGGCTCTGCCAGCCACATTCCAGCCAGCTGGGGTGTGACAAGGGCCTGGCCATGTGGCTAGTGCTCTGTGAGCCACGGTCATTTATGATGTTTGTCAACATGGGTGCTGGAACCAGAAATCTGAATGCACTTGAAACACTGTTCACAGTGTTAGCTTCTTTGTATTTTATCTACCTATCAGGGTATTTTGACACACACACAACACACAGTCTCTCCTTCCCACTTCGCCTTCTGATGGAGATCAGCTGCACCCTCACTGATCACACAGAGCCCCCAATATTTGGCGCACAGGGCTCTCAGGCAGGGCCTGCACGTACGTCGGCCCAGCACGTCATCTGATTCCAGAAGAGCTTGTTTCTGCATCCCCTCACCTTTTTCCAGGGGAGGGATTCACTGGGAAACAGCAGCCCCCGAGTAAGAAAGGTCTGACCGAGGGCTCACCTTTGCCATGCATGGTGCATACTTACCTACCGGGAATAGCTGGGAAGGAGCAGGGTCCCACGCCTCCCATTCAGCACTGCTGAAATCAACTCAGAGCTGTCTCTGGGTCTCATAGAGTAAAACTCCTAAATCCCCAGATCCTTTGGGTTGTTTTATAATGAACGTTACTACAGACCGAACTCAGGCTCCAGTGGGAGGAGGACAGAATGATATTTTGGTGGAGTCAAGCGCTGGAAAAGCAAGGGTCACCCAGTCTCATTCTAAGGCTCTAAACACATACTGACCTTTGGCTGCATTCCCTAAAACCAATTCTCATCCCCAGTCACTGGCTTCTAAAAAGCCAGCCTGCCCCAGCCCTGTTGAACCTGCCTGGGGTTTGAGTGGAGACAGAGGCTTGCTCATTTGCCCTGTACCTGGAGATGGCCACAGAGCAGTGCTCTCCCACAGCAGCTCATTCCTGCTCACTGCGGAACACGGTCCCTGCAGAACTGAACACGGGACATTGTTCCAAGGCCTCCCGCCAGCTGCTCCTCTCAAGAGGTTGATGAGAACAGGCTGGGCTCCCCGGAGCAGGTGTGCTTCCTGGGAGTTACGGGACTCCTGCTGTGTGGCTTCTCGATGGTTTTTCCAAATGCCGTGCTGTGATCAAATGCAGGGGAGGGGGTGAGACAGAGGGTTTTAGGCCAAAGGAAACCTATGCTTGTTAGTCCTGATGGCCTCATTTTGTGCATAAGGAAATTGGGGTGCAGAAAGGATGAAGCCCATGGCCCAGCACTGTGAAGATGCGCTGAAATCATGCTTCCTGCAGACGGCCGCTGCAGAGTGGAGGCTGTGCATTCGCCGTTTTCTTTTTTTTTCTTTTTCATGCTTTAATTTCTGGGGTGCGTGTGCAGAACGTGCAGGTTTGTGACATAGGTATACACATGCCATAGTGGTTTGCTGCATCCATCACCCCGTCATCTACATTAGGTATTTCTCCGAATGCTGTCCCTCCCCAATCCCCCCATCCCCTGATATCCCTCCCCTCAACCTCCACCCTTTGCAGGGACATGGATAAAGCTGGAAACCATCATTCTCAACAAACTGACACAAGAACAGGAAACCAGACACTACATGTTCTCACCCATAAGTGGGTGTTGAACACGGAGAACACATGGGCACAGCCAGGGGAGCATCACTCACCAGGGCATTGCCATTTTCTTTTGGCCCACCCGTCCATGAATAAAGGTTCCTTGGCTGCATTCCGTGACTGTGGCTCATGGGTGTCACATAGTGGGACAGCTGAGCCTTTAGTTAATGAGTAGGCGTCTGGGCCATAATTGAATGCTGGGTCCTTAGTGGTGGTTTTCATTAGTTGATGACACATTTAGTTTCTTTAAAACATTAATCATTACTAAAGTTCAATAATTTTTTTGAATTAAGATATATACCTGTGTCTCTGCTATAGAATTCAGTAGTAACCTGAGTCCCACCAAATGAGAAGGGACTGAAGTACGCAATGATGTAATAGAGAAGGAACTCTGAAAAGAGGAAAGGCACATGGTGAACTTGGCCCACGTGTTCAGGATCATGGCTTGTCTTGGTCAGATCAAGAGCTGGGGGAGTCCCTCATGCCAAGACCACGCCAGCAGATGTTCACCCAGTGCTTGTTGACTGACTGCTCAAGATTCAGACTTGGGAGCAGGTGTCAGAACGTGCCAGAGGATGTCATAGCCACCACTCTCTGCAGTGTCTGGGGCCCGGACAGGGAGCGGATAAACTCCCGTGAGAACTGTGGACACCTTTGTCTCTTTCACCTTCTGCAGAAGTGCGCTCTGGCTATTGCAATAAAATACCACAGACTCGGAGCTCTAACTGCAGATGCTTACTTCACACAGTCCTGGAGGCTGGACGTCCAAGATCAGGGTGTCGGCAGCTTTGGTTTCTGATGAGATCCTTCCTGGGCCTGAAGGTGGCCACCTGCTCCCCGTGTCCTCGTGGGGCCTCTCTTCTGGGTCGTGTGTTCTTGGTGTCTCTCCCCGACGCCAGGCTCCACTTTTATGACCTCATTAATGTCACTGACCTCCAGATACAGTTACTTAGGGGGTTCAGGCTTCAACACTGGGGAGGGGCCAAATTCAGCCCAAATACCTTCCTGACCTGAAGCACCTGGGCAGCGCTTCTTTTTATTTATTTTTTTTGAGACAGAGTCTTGCTCTGTCGCCCAGCTTGAAGTGCAGTGGCACCATCTTGGTTTCTTGATTGACTGCAGCCTCTGCCTCCCGGGTTCAAGTGATTCTCCTGCCTCAGCTTCCTGAGTAGCTGGGATTACAGGTGTGTGCCACCACACCTGACTAATTTTTGTATTTTTAGTAGAAATGGATTTCACTTCTCCCCGTGTTGATGTTTTCTCAGAATGACTTCCTAAGGTACAGAGATACCAGATGAAAGAATGGTCTCCCTCCTTCCTCTCTCCCTCTCTCTGTTCATGTCTGTGTGTGTGTGGATAGCCTTCAAAAGTTTCTTATCTTCCTTCCTACAGCCTATTACTATGGAAAGAGAAAGAAGATCTCCAAGCCCCCCATCGGAGAAAGCAACCCCGACAGCGGACACCCCAAACCCACCAGGCGGAGGAAGCGACGGAAATCCATTTTTGTGCAGAAGAAACGGAGGTCTTCTGCCGTGGACTTCACAGCAGGCTCGGGGGAGGTAGGTACTGCCCAGGCGCCCTCCAGCCTGTGGCTCTGCCGTCTGGCCCTGACCGGCAGGTGTGGCAGCTTCACAGCAGAGGTGGCTCTGGACATTGTGGCAGGGTGGTCAGAAACACCAAAGAAGACACCCCCTCCTCCTTACTTACTGGAAACGAATGTAGCATGTCCAGCTGCTTTGGCTGGGAAGGGGCCTCGTAGGGCCCATGGGTGGGACCATCAGCTCCAGTTTAGAGGCTACCCGGGACAGGGCTTTTAAGGGGTCTGCACTGGGCCCAGGGTCTGACTGCAGGACCCAGTGGCCTGACCACGGGGACCCCTTGCCACCAGCCCCTTAAATGCCTTTTTCTTCTCAGGAAAGTGAGGAAGAGGACGCGGACGCCATGGACGACGACACCGCCAGTGAGGAGACCGGCTCCGAGCTCCGGGATGACCAGACGGACACATCGTCAGCGGAGGCGCCCTCGGCCCGGCCCCGGAGGGCCGTCACCCTGCGGAGCGGCTCAGAGCCCCCACGCCTGCCACCCCCGGAGAGGACACGAAGGGGCCGCAGGGCACCGGCCGCCTCCTCTGCAGAGGAAGGGGAGAAGTGCCCGCCAGCCAAGCCCGAGGGGACAGAGGTGACGCCCGGGCATGGGGGCAGAGGGGTTCCTGCTGGGTCTGAAGAAGCACACATGTTACAGTTCAGGGACACGATGCCGGGAAACCTGTTTAAAATGCCTCCAGTGGCAGCACCTGCTCTAGCCCGTTCCCAAGTCAGGAACAGAGGCTGGCGCTTCACCTCTGGGTGCAGGGGCCTTTCACCATCAGAATGCAGCTCCCAGGGTGGAGGTAGCATCTCTTTCCCGGACAGCTTTAGTGACACCTGGGTGCTTGTCAGGAGGAAGGCACAGTCCTTGGGTTCCTCTGGACTCCTGGTTTCCAGAACCTCCTTCCTTGCATCTCCCGTAACTGCCCTGTGTCAGCTCCCATGTCCCCTCTACAGTACACCTCTGTGATGTTTTAAAGTATTTAATCATGTTTTAGGTCTCCCCTAGCCCAGTGGGTGGTGTGAGATCAGCAGAAAGGGTCACTGGCACCATTACAGAAACATCGCGTGAACTCTCTCGTGCCTTCTTGGACGTGCCTCTTGTATTTCTCGGCTTTTCTCTAAGCAGAGACACTTTGTTCCTAAGCAGCCGCAAGGTTTCCTGAACTAGGCAGGCAGAGCCACTGTCCCTGTGCCTGCCTTCTTCCCTCTGAAGGCACATGAGACATCGCAGGGGACATCATCACAGAGTGAAGAATTTTCCCAGGAACTGAGAGTGTGGGTAGTTTGTTCAGGTGCCCAGTGAGGGAGGAAAGGGAGGCAGTTGCTCCTGGCCAGGAGCGACGGAGCCTGGGGAGTGCTGAGAGGACCCAGCCAATGGTCTGTGCCTCAGCTGAGCTCCTCCTGCTCTTTCTCTGCAGGACACAAAACAGGAGGAGGAGGAGAGACTGGTTCTGGAGAGCAACCCGTTGGAGTGGACGGTCACCGACGTGGTGAGGTTCATTAAGCTGACGGACTGTGCCCCCTTGGCCAAGATATTTCAGGAGCAGGTACAGTGGCTTGCCGTGTGTCAATGGTTTGATGTACTGAGACTCTGGATCTGAAATGAACCACCTGTCCCAGCCAGCTTCCTCGTGACACCTGCGTGGGGGTTCCTTGGCGCTGCTGGGCAGGTAGCGAGACCCGGCTCCTTCCGAGGTCCCTTCTGAGGGCCTCCTGGCAGGGAAGAGAGAGAGAGAGCCTCATTCTTGCTCCTCACTCACCTCACCAGTACCACAGCAGGGGGCGGAGGGTGACTCTCCCAGCTGTAGTCACCCTCAGCAGAGACAGGAGGTGCCTGCTGCTATCAGATGAGGGGTGCGAGTCAACGTTCCCCCTGCCATCTCTTCCAACCCTACAATGGGGGCTCTTTACCACCACGCAGGAGTGGGAGTCCCAGTTCCCTGCTGCCTGGCCCTTTCAGATGCCACCTCGGTGGTGGGATGGGGTGCCCAGTTGCCCCCTGGCCAGGCTGGAAGTCAGGGCGGCTCACTCTGCCTTGGCTGCCGTCTGTGGGGCCCGGCCAGCCCTCCCTACGATGTCCGGGTGCAGAAGAGATGCTGCCATCTAACAGCTGTTTGTCTTGCTGGGCCACCCCTTGGCCAGCCCTTTGTCTGGAGAGAGCCGGCTTTGGTTCAGCCCCCTGTTGGTGCCTTTTGGCAAATGTAGGTTGCAGCTTCTTCAGCTCCAAGTCTCAGGTGCGTGCAGCTCACACACAAACAACAAAAACAACCCGAGAGCTCAGCACGTGCCATCAGCTGGGGTCCCAGGCCCCTGACTGGCCTGCTGTCCTCTCTTCTTCCAGAGGCTTCTGTTTGTAGATTCCTGTCTAATGCCCACAGATCTTACTTACGCCTAGTGGGAGCAGGAGGGAATGGGGTGTCTACCTGGCCTGCCCGGAGTGGAAGCCCACCGACCAGTGTGTTGTTTTGAATGCCGCTTTCATCATCGTTTTCTTACCTTCCTCTACATGAAATATTCTCTTCTTTCTACATAAAGTTTTCTCGTCTTTCTTTTATTATTATTATTATTTTTTAATTCTATTTTATGTTCTGGGGTACATATGCAGATTGTGCAGGATTGTTATACAGGTGTACACATGCCATGGTGGTTTGCTGCATCCATCCCTCCGTCATCTGCATTAGGTATTTCTCCTAATGTTATCCTTCCCCAATCCCCCCACCCTCTTCTATGCGTCCCCCAGCCACCCCAACCCCATGTGTCCATGTGTTCTTATTGTTCAACATCCACTTACGAGTGAGAACATGCAGTGTTTGGTTTTGTGTTCTTGTGTCAGTTTGCTGAGAATGATGGTTTCCAGCTTCATCCATGTCCCTGCAAAGGACCTGAACTCACCCTTTATTATAGCTGCATAGTATTCCATGGTGTATATGTGCCATGTTTTCTTTAAGCCTGCATAGCCAAGACAATCATAAGCAAAACGAAACAAAACAAAACAAAAACAAAGGTGGAGGCATTGTGCTACCTGGCTTCAAACTATACTACAAGGCTACAGTAATCAAAGCAGCATAGTGCTGGTACCAAAACAGAGATACAGACCAATGGAACAGAACAGAGGCCTCAGAAATTTTCTCTTCTTTCTACATAAAATATTTTTAAGACCATAGTATGGTGATGGACAAACACAATAATGTTAATTTCTACCTTAAAGGAATCTATAGTCCAGCAGATGAAATGAGTATAGTTAGCTGAAACATAAGATATATGATGATGTGTCCTAAGGAAAAAGAGAGGGTTTTTACTTACATTTTCCCTGAAATTAATATAAAAACAAGTTGCCACTCTCTTTGCACATACCACCTTGCATCCTGCTTCACTGGCTTTGCAGAAAATACAAGACTCTTGCTCTACTCTGTGCTTAATTTGTTGAAGTTTCTTGCATTGTTCTGGTGTAAATATCTGTGTTTGAAGACCTCATGTTAAAAAAAATACTGTTTTTCATATAATAAACTTAAAGATAGCTTTATTCAGTGTCTTTTTCGGTCATACAAACCAGTAATCTAGAAAGAGGATATTTCTAGCATTAAATCAGGAAGCATAAAAGACATGTGACTCACCGCATACCCAGGAGATTTCCCAGCTTTCCTCCCAAATTCATGCAGCAATGAACTGAAAAAAGCAAATTGCTATGGTCCCCAGCGCCACCCAAAGAGAGTAGTTCTTGTCATTCAAAGTTCTTTCCCCTGCATCCCAAGAAGTCCAAGCGATGAAGTAGTTTATCCTATTGATGACCACTAGAACCTTCCACAGACACCCACTAAGTTCATGCTGAAAGAATGATTAGGCCGGGAATGGTGGCTCAGGCCTGTAATCCCAACACTTTGGGAGGCTGAGGCAGGCAGATCACTTGAGGTCAGGAGTTCAAGACCAGCCTGGCTAACGTGGTAAAACCCCGTCTCTGCTAAAAAGAAAAAAAAAAAAATACAAAAATTAGCCAGGCATGATGGTGGGCGCCTGTAATCCCAGCTACTTGAGAGGCTGTTGCAGGAGAATCTCTTGAAAACCTGGGAGGCGGAGGTTGCAGTGAGCCAAGATCGTGCCACTGCACTCCAGCCTGGGTGACAGAGCAAGATTCCATCTCAAAAACAAAAAAAAGAGTGATTGGAAGCAGAGGGAGTCACCTCCTGACCTTCTGATGTTGGCTGCCCTTCCTGTCTAGGCAACTCTGAAAAGCAACCAGGGAGAGACTTCCTTACAACTAAAGAAACTGGGTGATGAGCTTGTCCCTTCAGAGAACACACAAACAGGAAAGAAAGACAATTCTAAGAAATGCAAGGACTTAGGTGATCGGGGGCTCATTGATAAGCCATATCTCCATCTTGAAAACAAAAATAAAGCACTAGATTGAAATCCTGTGTAAAGTGTTGGCCAATGCAGTACTTTTCCTGTCTGGTGTTTATTGACAGTGGTGCTGCAGTGAGAAAAGCATTGTATTCAAATACATGACAAGTGCGGATCACACGGGTTTGGTTGTGTATATGTTGCTCCCTTTGTGCATTCAACATATACAGATTCAGTCCCTGTAAGGTACCTTCTGATAGCTAAAGATACGAGGTATGGCATTCTGTGTTAGTCTAATGTTTTGTTTTTATGTTTAGGCTCAAATGCTTAGTTTTAACAAAACAAAAAAGAAGTTTAATTAGGCCGGAATGAAGAGCAGATTTCTCATTTCTGGATTCCAGGTTTGGTATGAGGGCTTACACCTTGAAATGTTAATAGCTCCTGTGTCTGTCTACACTGTGTATACCTTCTTAGTAATAAGCAAGAAAGTCAAGCAAAGTTGGTTGGGGAAAAGTATTCAGTCTTCCTTTCTTGTATTTCTAAACCCGGTTGATAACACCAGAGAAAAGTTTCATGCCTTCCCTAAGCTCAGTCTTCAAGGAAATGGAACACCGCTGACACCATCCCCCTTGTAGAATCAAGTTGCTCTTATTTTGTTTATTTTTTGAGATGGAGTTTTGTTCTTTTTGCCCAGGGTGGAAAGCAATAGCACAATCTCAGCTCACTGCAACCTCTGCCTCCCGGGTTCAAGCGATTCTCCTGCGTCAGTCCCCAGAGTAGCTGGAATTTCACCACGGCCAGCTAGTTTTTGTATTTTTAGTAGAGACAGAGTTTAGCCCTGCTGCACTTCTAATATCAGTGAAAGCCTTGCCCTTCATCCCTACTTTTTTTTCTCATGAGAGAGAAACATAGGTAGGTGTTCACTGATCGTCGTCTCATTCCTGTCTGATTTCACATTTCACATTAGCAGGTTCACTAGTTGGAATAAAAAGCCATTGCCCACTGGGCTGTCTGAAGTACATGGCACTGGAGTCCTTTTCTGTCCCATCACACCTTTCATTACTAATTTTTAGTAATTTGTTCATCATCATTTAGCCCAAATACTCTGATTTGGTGAGGTCCCCAGCAGGTCACTGCAGGCATTGTCTGAGATTTTGGATGAGCTAGAAGGAACCCGGAGACTTTATTCACTGGCATGTGAATGAGATCACAGTGCACAGAATGGTCATTGCTCTCTTTCACACATGCCCTGAATGTTATAAATGCATAGATTATTGTAATCACTAGGAGCATTTGCAAAAATTATAAACTCCCCATTACCAGCATCTATACCTTTTATTTCTGAAATGTTATGGCAACCATTTAAAAGTTCTATACTCCATCATTTAATGCTGCAAACCTGTACATTACACAGTAAAAAGCCACTCATCCATAACTAAGAACACACAAAACTCTAAAAATTTTACCCATTCATTCAGCTTTCATCAGTCAGTGGCAGGATGATGAGTAGACTGTCCAAATGATCAATTGAACTTAATGAAAAAAATCTCAGGGTAGTTTATAGCTTAGTCCAAATTAAGCTGCCCTTACTTGACTTCTCTAGACCTGAATACCTCCATTAGGAACTACCAAGTCCTCACTTGAATGCTCTATCAAAACAGATTTAATTTTGTCCTCTGCTAAGCATGTTGTATATCTCATCATATTTCATTTCTTTACAATTAGTCCATTTATGGTGATTCTGTATTTAACATTAAAAGTGATCTGCCAGCAACTCTCAGTTATATAGGAATTTTTATATGTTTATAAAAATTAAACCATCTGTGAGCTATGCTGTTATCTAAATAATCCTTGAAAGAGAAAATAGCCTTCCAAATGAAGTGGCTTTCTGGGCTTGTCATGATTTTACTTTAGATATCTCCCCAGTTTCCTGGAATTCTATGTTCCAGGGAACTACCTGTGTTCCTTCAGTCCCTTTTGGCCTTAATAATGGCCACTGGTCCCTGACATCTCAGTTGGAAGCCCTTTGGGTGCCCCTATTAGACTGTCCTGGTTGCCTGTCCTGTTTGAACCCTTAGCTCTGCATCCATATGTTAACATCCCTGTATCCTAATAGTCTATTAATTTGTCTGCCGCCCTTCAGATTCATGGGGTGTCCGGAGAGGGAACCTTTCCTTCGTTCACTGTGATGTTCCCCAGAAGCCAGCCAAGAGTCTGCCACTTAGTAGATGCTCAATAAATATTGGCAAGTAAATAAATGAGTGTGTGCACCTGCACTTTTAAATGTGGTACATCCATCGGCCACCTTCAGTGTAATTTTCTGTAGAGAAAGAGTTACATAAAGATTTTAGTGCTGATATTCAGTGGTGACTGAATCCCCATCGTGACTAAGTTAAAGATGTTAAAGACTGAGCTAGAGTTTTCCCTTCAAAGTTTAATGTCAGAAGCCGGGTGCGGTGGCTCAAGCCTGTAATCCCAGCACTTTGGGAGGCCGAGGCGGGTGGATCACGAGGTCAAGAGATCGAGACCATCCTGGTCAACATGGTGAAACCCCATCTCTACTAAAAATACAGAAAAATTAGCTGGGCATGGTGGTGCGTGCCTGTAATCCCAGCTACTCGGGAGGCTGAGGCAGGAGAATTGCCTGAACCCAGGAGACGGAGGTTGCGGTGAGCCGAGATCGGGCCATTGCACTCCAGCTTGGGTAACAAGAGCGAAACTCTGTCTCAAAAAAAAAATTTTAAAAAAAAGTTTAATGTCAGAAAACGACAGTTCTGATTCCAGTACTGTCTCTAACTACCTGTGTGATCATAGTCAGATTGGCTAGCTTTTCCAGACATTAATTTTCACCAAGAAAGTAAACTTCCTGGTGAAAGTAAAATAAGTTTTATTTCTATTCTATCCTGTTGTGTGGGTGTCAGTCATTGAACTTAATGGTTAAGCCACCTGTCCACGGTTTAACGACATCCGCAGAACAGAATAAAATAGAACATCAGCCCCCTGCCTACTTAAAATGTGTTTTTAAGAGACCCATGATACTTAGAAGACTTCAGTTGCCTATCCCTTTGCCCTCTCGGTCTGTTTTAATATGTGGATTTGGCTCTGAAAAATTGAATTGGCTAACAGGCCTCAAGCCAGTGGTCCCCTTGGTTTCTTTGTGACCTGGAGCCAAACACTATTTCACATTACCCCCTAATCCCCCTAGCTACAATCAGTAGCGTCTGAAAAGAGTAAAATAACATGTGCAGGCACTATAGAGAAAGGGAAAAATGATATCAACATAGCATGAAAATATGGTGACAGTTTTCTATAGTTTGTCTCCTGCCTTTAGTATGTGTACAAGACAGATCTGTTTACTTTGTGGTTTGATAAGGTCACCTTTGCGTCTTGGTTGAGCGTGGCTTCAAGTTGCTTACATCATAGCTAGTGCTCGTCTGTAATTTAAAAATAAAAAATGACATGCATATCGATACTTTCAAAGTTAATGTTTCATTTTTATTGCTGCAGTACTTATTAGGGAATATTGTTGCTTTTGAATCTGATCCGAAGATAAAGTATTCCTCCTCTTAACATTAGTCTTTTGAACCTGATCAGATGATGAATTATGCTTGCTTAGAAAATTAGTCTGCTCAAGACTACCATTTATACACATTTTGACTTTTTGCTTTAGATATTTTCAAGACAGCTAAATAAACCATTAGTTTAAGAAAATAAGCTGCCTGTGCGAAAGTCACTGATAGGTGTTGTCTGAGACATATGATCTTGTGCTGTTGCTTGGCTATTAATGTCCTTGGGGCTTCTGGCAGCGCTGGGTATAATTCTTCTGCAAGTGGCAGAAATTCCAGTATGCGGAGTTCACTTAATGCTCTCATCATACCACTGATCTTCATCATTGCCTGGGGCCTGCAATCTCTTAGAGCCTCAGTGACTCCCTCTGGACTATTAAGATCATCTTGGTAAATAGGAAGGAGGATTGCGGTTAAACTCAGCCGTCCAGTCAAATGACATCTACGTGAATAAACCAGATTACTATAGGAAGCAAGCTGCTGAAGAGACAGAGATGTCCAGTGGAAGGGTCTTAGAGCTTTGGAGTCTCTGTATGCTTCCTCCTGCAGGAAGCAAAGTCAACTGAACATTCATTGAATGAATTCCTTTATACCCTGTGTGTAGGTAGAAACGGGCTGAGCAGGATACAGTGGGAACAGATCTATGTACGAGGAACACCTTGCTCTGAACAGTGTGTGTCTGTAAATGGGGTGTGTGTGTGTGTGTGTGTGTGTGTGTGTGTGTGTATGTGTGTGTCTGTGTGGGTTTTCCTTTATGAAAAACTGTGCTGTGTCATTGGCATTATCTGTCTTGAGCATCTTCTCACTCATCCTGACAGTGAAATGGCAAACCTTGGCAGGGAGGTGAGGGAGCCTTGTCTTTTAGTAGAGATCCCTTTGCTTAGTGCTGAGATGAAGTCACAGCATAGCTTAGGGAGCACCTGGCCCAGCCTGGGGTGGAGGGTGAGTTGCTCTCCCAGCAAAGGACGATAAGCTTAGGAAGCAATTCCCTCAGCCGCCCTCCTCTTTCTACCCACTGGGATAGGTATGTGAATTTCAGAGTAGCCAGAATGCCCTCAGCCAAAAGCTCTTGTCTTTGTATTGTTGTTTTTGTTTTTGTTGTTCAGAGACCGTCCTGCTTTGTTGCCCAGGCTGGAATGCGGTGGTGTGATCACAGCTCACTGCTGCAACCTCAAACTCCTGGGCTCAGGTTATCCTCCCATCTCAGCCTTTGAGTAGGTGGAATCACAGGTTCGTGCCACCATGCCCAGCTAAATTTTTAATTTTTTGTAGAGACAGTATCTCATTGTATTGCCCAGGCTGGTCTCAAACTCCTGGTCTCAAGCAATCCTCCCTCCTCAACCTCCCGAAGTGCTGGAATTATAGGCATGAGCCACTGTGCCCAGTTGCAGAAAGATTTCAGTAACACAAAGATAAGACTGTCATCAAGCCAGGTTTGCCTGGATTGAATGAAACAAAGCGTCCTTTTCTCACGTTTGGCCCCAGGGTGGAGCCTGCTGTGACAGGTGCATCCCCCCGTGCACGCTGCCCGGTCTCAACCTGCCTTTCTTTTCCTGCAGGACATTGACGGCCAAGCACTCCTGCTTCTGACCCTCCCAACGGTGCAGGAGTGCATGGAGCTGAAGCTCGGGCCTGCCATCAAGTTATGCCACCAGATTGAGAGAGTCAAAGTGGCTTTCTACGCCCAGTATGCCAACTGAGTCTGCCCTCGGGAGGTGGCCCATTATCGCTGGGATGTGGTGTTGGTAAAGGTTTCCAGGACTGAAACTTTGATTTCCAGGATATGTTGCATGGTACGGACACTGAGTATCACCAGAAAGCCAGAAGCCCAGGATCTCCTGCCTCTGCCAGCCTGTGAGCTGTTCCCATGTTTTCAAAGCACAGTGAGGCATGCAGAAGTCACTTCTGGAGAGCACCAGTAAAAGTAGTGCATCAGCCTTTCTTCACCCACATTTTGCCTTTCTCCCACCACAAACCAGGCAGCTCCCTTGGAGCCAGGTTTCTTAAAATGAGGCCTGCATTCTTTGAAAACGAAGAATGTCACCAAGGAAGAAACCTCACCCCATGCCATAGAGCTTCCTGTAATAAAACGGGCACATTTATCGACGCTGTTTCCTATGGATAGGCGTGTGACACTGGTCAAGTGGCACACACGGTTTCATCTTGGTGGCAACTCCTTTCTCTAACACAGCTGGCAGCGATGTCCTTATGAAAAGATGTGCTAAAGCTCTGTCCTCTGTTAGAGATGCCTCTTAGGAATACGGGGAGTGAAGGAGGCCAGTAGGCTTCTCCGTGCAACTGGATTATCTGTTTGTTTGTTGTGTTGTGTTTTTAGAGACAGAGTCATGCTCTGTCGCCCAGGCTGGAGTGCAGTGGCATGATCTCAGCTCAGTGCAACCTCTGCCTCCTGGGTTCAAGTGATTCTCCTGCCTCAGCCTCCCAAGTAGCTGGGATTACAGGCGCCCACCACCGTGCCCAGCTAATTTTTGTATTTTTCTTAGAGATGAGGTTTCACCATGTTGGCCAGGCTGGTCTCGAACTCCTGACGTCAAGTGATCTGCCCAGCTTGGCCTCCCAATGTTCTGGCATTACAGGCATGAGCCACTGTGCCTGGTCCAACTGGATGGCTATTGATTGAAACCTAGAATATCTGTAGAGACAAACTCTACCCAGTCTTTTCTAGACCCTCAACTATCTCCACTGTTGTGGTTTAATTGTAGCCGAATCAGGGAATGAGTCCTTTAGGCAAATGTTGGATTATATATCGAAGGAGAAGCTTAATTTCAGAGAGCAGAAAGGGAACGAGATGTGGGGGAAGCGTTCCATGAACCAGATACACCCCTTGAAAAGGATCACTGCAGCATCACCGAACAGGAGTCCCTCTGAGTGTTCCTTCTGTCTTGTTCTGCCCCAGCTGGCCTCATATGCACCAGGCACAATGCAGCATGAGCACTGAATCTGGAGTCAGCCACTTGGCACCCGGGATTTGCTGAGAACTAACTCTGAGATCTTGGGTGACTTGTCACTCTGGACCTCGGTTCCTGTGAAGCGACAGGTGTGGACACTCAGAGTCTGGGGGCGAGCACGCTGTCTCCCGCTGGCATTCATCCTGCTCATGCAGGAAAGGAAGATCCGGATTGGCCAAAAACGACAAAAAGAAAGAGAAAGAAGTGGTCCCAGTCTAATTCTGCCTTTCCCGTAGCTCTTTCTGGCTTGGAGTTTGCTTGTGGAATTTCTTGGGCAGTTGTGTTAAATCTTCCAGGTCATGTGCAGGCGTATCTGTGGCTGTGGGAGTTGGCTGGCCTCTTGGACCAGAAGCCATCTCCGTATCCTCATGAGTGATTTGGGATCTCCATGCAGACCCCGTGGACTACAGGGTCCCGCTGTGGCGGCTGCCTAGATGCCTTTTTAAACTTATGCAAGGAAACCGAACCCTCCATGGTTCCTGAGCAGATGCCGGGAGCAGAGGCTTTGCAGCCTTCCTGCTTTTCCTCCGTAATCACCTTGAGCTCGTCCCTTGGACTGGAGTCTCCACAGTTGCAGTAAAATCCTGTGGTGGGCTAATGAGCTGCTTGCATTTCTATGACATTTTCAGATATGATTCTTGGTGGGATTTTTGGAAACTTTGATTGCCCAAGCTCACTTCTTCACATTCTGTAACGGTTCCAGATGAGAATGGAAAACAAATACTTCATGGATGAGGCTTTTTGGTCTCCCCTGCAGCCGATTTCTATAATCCAGTTTTAGAGTTTGGCTGGTGGATCTGCCTGGAGGCCTCGGATGGGAGGAGGGTGACATCTGTGCCCGGACAGAGACATCTCTGGGATCTGTGGTTGGCTTGCGTCGGGCAGCTCTCCTTCTAAGCTCAAGTTCTGACCTCTCCGCCCTTCTCCATCCACCCCTGCCTTCTCAGCCACATGCTTTGGCCTTAAACGCTCAGTCTTGTGGAGTTAAACCCTGTCAGATGATTGGAAGGGACATCGATTTCCAGACTTTGGCATTCTGCCCGCGCTGACTCCTTGATCCTTCACCGTGGCCTTTTCAAGCTGAGCTGTTTCTGTTGTATTTGAGACAAGGATGAGGGAACGTGGTGGCCACAACAGAACAGGGACTTGCAGAACAAATGCCACTTCCGTCTCCCTTCTCAGCGGTGGCACGGAGAGGAGGTGCTGCATTGGAGGGAGGAGATCCTCTGGGTGGGGGTCTCCGGAGCCCACCCAGAGAGCTGGAATGTGACCCACCAGGAGCCCAAGAAGGACGCAGCCAGTGTCTCTGGGGAAAGTGTTTGCTTCCCATGGGGCCAAGTGCCCAAGACTCTCCATGTCTTTCACCTCGACAGTTAACTTCAGTGCTTCTCTGTGCAGTCGCAGTCACCATGGGTGCCCACTGTGTGTGCGCGTGCCAGGGAGGAGACGGCTGTGGCGACGGCACGGGAGGGCACAGCCTGGCATCACCATGACGGTTGTCTCTATGCCATCTCTCCAGTCCTTGAGGAGAGCCCAGAAAGATTTTAGGAGCGAGGAGGTGCTTATGCTCCAGGTGTTGCCAGTGTCCTTCTGAGCTTGGATTCTCGGGGAATTTCAGTCACGGTGAGTGGACTTCACATCAGCAGCAATTCTGGTACAGAACTGTAATGTGTTCTCACGTCTCTGTAGGATTCACCTCTCACCAGCGTCTGTCTTAAAGATAGGGCCAATTTCATGGAGCATTTTTCTCTGTGTGTCCTTGTTGCTTTTGGCAGAAAAAGTAGATTTGACATGTGTGTCCCAATGCCACCGTAGCCCCTAGGCCAAAAATGTCATGGTCTAAACACCAAGAAGTGATTCCTCGCATTCCTTCCCTGGATGGTATGATTTCTTCGCCGTCTTTCCTTGATGACCCTTTGGGACCAAAGTCCTCTCCTTAGTGCACTCACATCCTGTGGAATGCCATGGGAACTGACCCAGCAGCCTCTTCCATCTGCGCCATGTCAAAACCCTGAGAAAGAGACGCCACCTCCGCTTGAATCACGACAGCTCGTCTCTCAGTCTCGCCCTGAGCTAATGGAGCTTGTTTCAGCTCCTCGCTTCTTGACTGCTTTTGTACTATGTTGAAAAAAATCCTGTCCACAAAATCCCACACCTAACAACTAGAAAAGGAACAGGGTACTGCTGGCATCACAGAACTCCTTTGCCTTTCAGAACGAAAGCAAAACACCGTAACGTCACCACAGAGCTTCACAGTGTGGGGAACTCAGCCTTCGCTTTTAAAATTAGAGTCATTGGATCCAAGTTTGAGTCAGACACAGTATTTGAGCTGCGCCGCTTCTGGGTTCTCCCACCTTATTTGATCACATTCTAAAGATTATTTCCTGTGTTTACTTTGATTTGTTCCTCAGTACGTTAAAATCACCTGCACCTTGAACGCTCCTCCTGTGACCTTTACTGCCCTCTCTAGAGTTGACTTTGATCAGCCTTTTGAAGATGGGTGTCGTCTCCCTAATTTATCTCACAGGATTTTGAGCATTGTGTTCGGCAAGTTCCGAGATTTGCCTTCTATCTTAACGCCAAACACCCCTTTCTAAGAGCTGTCCCCCCTCAGTTTTAGAAGCACTCGGGGTTTTCACACTTATTTTATAGGACACCCATTTATATTTATTTCTGTATATAGAACTAAAAAAAACCCAGTAGTGTTAAAAATCTTTGTTGTGGTTTGAGCATCTTCGCTGCTTTTGGATTAAGGTGGTGAATCAAGGCGCCACTTCCTCCCTTTTCTGTCTTTAGAAAGCTGTGATCGCGCGTGCAATTATTTGAAAGGAAACGTAGTAAATTAAGAAACCTGTAGCTGTTAAGGAAGAAAGTGTTGGCGAGATATCCATACTGCTCATATCTCGTTGGTGCAATAATTAAATAGCAAGGGAAATCCGTATTGGCAACCATTAGAATTTAATAATTCACTTTTTTTGTTTGTTTATTGCTCTTTTCTGTTCAAGGGTTTTCTGGAAATTACTTTCTTTCACGTGGTTGAATTCTTAAGTTGACTAATTCTCATAGCTCTTATCACTAGAAAGGTTTACAGATACCCCAAACATACTATGATAAAATCAAATTGTGCTACTTTTGACCCATGTGATTTACCTAAAAATTATAATTGCTGACATAGAGTGCTGCCTTGAATTTTGATTCAGAACCTCTCTAGTTGAAATGATAAATAACAACTCAAACAATTCCATATTGTTTGAGGAAGGGGCCATAATCCTTCTGTGCTGTTGGCGTTAAGTAATAAGAACTTGGTCCCAGTGAGTATGAAAGTTGTGCCGCCAACCAAGGCAGAGCAGGGCTTTTTGTGTGGCTGAAGAGATGTGCTAGCAAAAAAAAATGAATATTCTAGAACAATTGTTGGCCAAAAATCACCTTAGGATAAAAAAAATTGAGGATAATTTTTTAAATGACAGAAAAAATAATCATCTCACTTGTTCGAAACAGGAACTAGCACGATCTCTGGAAGCATAAACTATCCCTCGTCGTGAATGTTGAAAGCCCTTTCACTGTTTTGCATTCTAGTTTCAATAGTTTGTATTGAAGTTGGATTCCTATTTTGTGTATAGTTTTGGTGCATAAAAGGGAAAAATTGGTGTCATTACTTTCGAAATTTGCAGGACAAAGGGCATGCTGTTGGTTTGCTGTAAGATTGTATTCTGTATATATGTTTTCATGTAAATAAATGAAAATCTATATCAGAGTTATATTTTAATTTCTATTCTAAATGGAGAAAAACCCTTTTTACTTGAAAAAAAAACTTGTAAGCCACATTGTTAATAAAGTAAACATAAATTCTATGGTAGTGTTTCGGTTTTTATGTTGAATGTTATTCAATATTATCTTTAGCGTCTGCATTAGTTATTTTGTTCTGAAGTTTTTGTTTTCTTCTTGCCACACACTGAAGCCTTATTTCTAGGTTGTTAATGACCGCGGCTCTCAAAGTCCTGTGTGACCTCTCAGAATCGCCTCTAGCTCCAGAATGGAACTTTCCGATCAAGGAACTTGTATTTATTCTTTTGTGTTGTTAAAACATGCTTGTGTATCCTCACGCAACCTATAGCCCTCCCACTTTCTTTTTTATTATTATCATACTTAAAGTTCTGGGGTACATGTGCAGATCATGTAGGTTTGTTACGTAAGTGTACATGTGCCATGGTGGTTTGCTGCATTCATCCTCTGTCATCTACATTAGGGATTTCTCCTAATGTTATCCATCCCCAGTACCCCCACCCCCTGCTATCCCTCCCCTAGGCCCCCACCCCCTGACAGGCCCCATGTGTGATGCTCCCCTCCCTGTGTCCATGTGTTC